GTTTCAGGGTTCATAGCAATCACGAACTCTCGGATAGAAGGTTTCAGACCCCAAATATATCTTTCTACTTTTCGGGATTTTGAAGATACATAATGTTCAGAAAATCGAGAAAACTCAATAAATTTCTCGGTATAATCCCGCACAGATCTGTTCCTTTGTTCTAGTTTAAGAAAATCTTCCTCTGCTGTCATAGGTCAGAATTGTGTTTTAAATTTACTCACAAATTCTTCCCAAGACATTGTTTGCAGTATATTTAGTTGTGCCAAGGACTCCACATCCCACCAATATAAGGCATTAGATTTGAGCATAGATACTGCGAATCTAACCTTATCTTCTTCAAAACACCTACTAGTGTTAAATACTAATTCAATTTCTTTTATCCAGCACATTGCTTTAACTGGATCTCTTTCTCCTGAAAAGGTTGGAGATTTACATGTCAGAGACATCTTTATATCTCCTCCCCGATTATTGCTACCTGCTGAAGGAACTTGAGGATTAATTCCAACTCGCTCAGTTTCTAATCTAGCTGGCAGTCCCATAATAGATATTAGCGTTTCTCTCAGTTTTTCCATTTCTTCTACTAGATCATTTCTTGTTATAAACTCTTATTGTTGCCTCTGTTCCTGTTGAGCATTCCCAGAAATAGATTCCCTTTGATCAGGGCGAATCTCAGCCTGACTTCTCTCAGGAATCTGACTCCTCCCTTGACCCCTACCTCTACCCTTTCCACGACCTCTACTTCTTGAAGCATAGGTTGATGGATTAGCGAGAGATTCCTCCCTTTCTTCAGATACAGGGCAGGCAGTTCTCTCTGACCTTCGTGATTGACTAGAAATCTGCAGATATTTTAGTATTAAATATCACATATTCACATTCCCAAATATAATATGGTGTCCGAGTATAGGTATGTACCTGTAAATTCATAATTACATTGGCCATTTGTAATTCGAATTCACCTTACATACTGTTCTCTTTAACCCATTATATTTTATTCCCAGTGATACTAATAATGTCCGGGACCCTTAACATGCAAATGACAGTTTAAGTCTAGGTATTATGCTTTGAATACCTAAATCTTTTAAACTAAGGCTCTGATACCACTTCTGTAACACCCCCAAACACCACATTTGCATAAACACATATTTCATTACATAGAAACATAGATTACACCATAAGGTCCCACTAGTACAAGGATTACTATATGTACAGAATCTACATATAAAAATTTCCAAAACAAATCATGTACTATTACATGTGATATAACATGTATCTTCAAAAGCAGACAACAGGTTAGAAAAATAATCACATTTTCCCTTT